AACCCGCTAAAAGCTAATTTTGAAGTTAATGTGTTTTTTTTTTAAATAATTTTCAGCAGAAGTTTGCTTTAATTATGCCTAGTTATAATAAAATTATGTAAATTAGCTTTGCTGGCGAAATAACAAGAGCCCAAACCCACAAACGGTTTAATTTCTTTCAAAAAATGTTATGTTAAGTGTTTAATTCACGATTTTTTTAATAAATAGTTGTGAATAGTTACAAAAAATATTTAATAACACACAAAAATAATACATACATTAAAATTTTTAACATTTTTTGCGGGGCTTAACTTTTTTAATAAAAAGAATTCTATCTAGATATGTGACAATAACAGTGGATTAAAAGATATCTATTAAGTTAAGAATTAGCTAGTCGGATAGAATTTCCATTATTTTTATTAAAATTGGGGCTTGAGAGTATGCAAAGTAAATTTAATGATTAATTATATTATACTCTAAGTTTTTATTCAATTGTACCCAAATATAGTTTCAACGTACTGGCAAGGTTTGTAAATATTATAAAAAATGCACATTTTTCGACGCTCTCACGAGATAAAGAGTTTCGTATCATGTTATCTTTGACGAAGGGTGATGACCAGTTCCATCAAGATATGCTGACAAAACTCGCGCATAATTTTCAGTTAACATTTGCTCATTTTCTCATTATAGTAACATTCTCTGCTGCTAGCATCAATGATGACTAGATACGAAACTCTTTATTCCGTGAGAGCGCTCAAAAATCCGCATTTTTTATAACATTTCTGAACAGTGCCACTGTGATGGAAAAACGACTTATTTGGATTTTTAGGTATATTTTGGGTATTTTATTACAAACAACGACGTCTTTAATTGCAATTTCACTGAAAAATTTCATTGAGAAACAATTCAGTATTTAATTATATTAAGTTTTAGTAATAAAATTACAATAATTTCTTTAATATTTACTGCTGAAGCAAATTTCTTTTGAAACAAAAATAATGGATTTTTTTATTGGCATAGTGGCACTGGTGCTTTTTGCACATCAGATGTTGAATGTTCCCCGATCTGACACTGCTGCCAACATTAGAATGTGAGATGGGGGAACGCTCTCAGCTGCGATTTGAGTAAGTTTCGTATCTAGTCATCTTTGGCTAGCATACCGTTCCTTTTAATCCATCCGCCAGTCAAACCAATATTTGGAATTGACATAACAACCGACGTAGCTTTGCACCCCCTATTTTGATAAAGTTTAAAACACCTAAAAAATACTGCTATATTGATTTTCTGGCATATTAATTGCAGAAAGGAAACATTCTAAATTTTTCGTTCATCGTTTATTCTCTTTGAGCTGGTATCGAGGAAGGAATTTTAAACGGCTGGGGGTAATCAAGCAACGGCGCCATTCAGTCAACATTACATACCGCCGCGGGTTAGGGGCTCAAGAACTCACCCGTGGTAAGACAATGCGACTTAAATCCAATATTTTCCGGCAGTCGGGTTCTTATACCGAAACGATCCGGATTTTTATTTGTCTAAAAAACTGTCACTCTTGCAATACTTCCGGAAAACCAATTCTGTGAATATTTTTGTGGTGATTATAAAAACAAAAACAAAAATAGTCAACATTACAAATAAATATTTATTGAAAAGTAGTAAATTGTAAAATTAAATTGAAAACAGCACAATCTGTATCAGTTCTAGCTAAATACTTGTCAAATTCATATAACTTCAAAGAGAAACAAACAGCCGAATACAATTTTTCCGATTCAGGTATTATAAAAAGGTTACACCTCTAAATCCTATCAAATATAATATTCGCAGGTGTACCACAAGGAAGTGGGGCCCTAAACGTCCCCGAGGGAAAAACCACTTGGACAAAAAGATTATTCAAACCAAATTGAAAATTGCGAATTTGCATTGAATTGTAGGCTCTAAGTCCAAGCCAAGTCTAGAAAACGAAGTTTTACTTTTTAATGTGCTTATAAAGCCATTTTGGACGTACGGGATCCAAATTTGGGGCTTAGCATCTAAATTTAGTTTAGATAGAATTCAAAGACTGCAATGTAAGACCTTAAGATCAATACGCAAAGCCCCTTGGATGAAATAATTTAAATAGAAAAAGATGTATTTCTTTCTTTATTTTTTATTTTCAACTCACAATACTTCGTTTTTTAGAAACATTTATTTAAAAACTAACTTAGATGAAAATGCATTTTTTAAAATAGGGATGTAATTACTACATGTTCGAAAATGTGTGGGAGAGCATTCGAACGAAGAAGGATTTACATAACTCTTGGTATGTAAAAATCTCCACAATTCATAACGATTTCGGTGTTAAAACCGTCACCGAGGGAATAGAGAAACTGCTTAAAAATTACTCGTTAAGGTTATCTAGCCATCGAAACTTTCTAGCTAAAAAATTATTACGGCAGAACTACCCTAAGCGATTAAAGGTTTTACTTTTGAAATGTAACTAAAGGCTCTGCCGCGTCGAATTATTCTACATCGGAGTTGCGCTCCGCATATATCCTTCATGATATTATAATATACTTCAAATTATCCTTTGTGATATATCTAAAATTAAATATTAAACATTAGTGTTTGATAAGCCTAATGATATCTATATAAACACATTCTTTGATAAATTAAATAAATTTATTGTACTTTGCTTACTTTGTCAATCTAAACAGTGGTAATGATTAACTTGTTCCAGGAATAAGAATTAGCTTTAAGGTTTTCGAAATTTTTGTTATTTTCCAAAAAGGAAAGATTCAATAAAACATTATACAAAAAAAAGGTTTTATATTACCAGCCGAAAGGTGTTCAAAGTCGACTTCATGCCACGTGGATGCTTTGCAGTAATAAAAAATTGTGGTTAAGCCACTAAATATTAAATTTTTAATGGAATTTAATATAAAAATCCAATTATAAACCACACTTTTTTAAGTAATTTTCCATTACTTTATGTGTTAAAGTTGTACTTTAATTTGTTTTTAATTTACCATAAATAAATTGGGAAAATATTTGCAATTTTAAAATACTAGACGCCTGCTGCTATTTTTCTGAACACAACTGTATGTAGTGTGAAATATTATGAAAGAGATACCTTAAATAAATATATTTAGTAAAAATAAATATATTTAGTTGAAAATAATAATACATATGAACTTTGAGTTGCTAAATTACTTACTCTTCCGTTATGAAGTGTTACTGAAGGTTCTTTTTTGACTGTAATTCTTCTCTCAGTTTTAGGCTTCACAAGGGTAGCACTTTTGTACTTTGCAACACTATTGGTCAGGTCGCGTATTTGTTTAAGCGATTTCAACAAAAAACGCCTCAAATTATCACTTGTTGCTTATTTTATGTTATTGTTTTCTATCTAATTCGATGAATCACCTAACGTTAATTTCACAGGATTATTAAAAAAATTATTCTATATATTAAAAAAAAATTAAAAAAAAATGAAGAATAAAAAAATATGTATCGCCCGAGCAGGGACTTGAACCCTGGACCCTTGGATTAAAAGTCCAATGCTCTACCGACTGAGCTACCCGGGCATATAAACCGTTATGCGCCAAGTGAAGGTTTTCCCCGCAACAGCTTTCCACCCTCCTCAGGTTACCGTAAAACAGTCTTGCGAAATAATATGCAAAGTAATTTAGATTTTTTAAAATATTTATTGATTTTGTTCTTTTTTTTTTTTTTTTTGTTTTTTACTTTTAATCTATGGTGGTTTTAGTTATTTATTTATTTATTTATTGCATTATAATAATCTTACTTAATTAAATATGTATATCGTACACTAATCTATTTTATATTGCGCTCTACATCCGGGCAACTAATTTCATTTGCAAATGCATGCATACATACATATGTATGTATGTATATGCATTAAGCATAATACGTACATATATGTATGTATGTACAAGTTTAAGTTAAAGTTAAATTACTTTTTTCAACTTTTCGTTACTTAGAAACTGTATATGCAAATTCTTCAAATATATTTATTTTATAACATTTTTATTTTAGTTTTTCTTTTTTTATACATGGAATGCAGTAGTTTTATTTATATTATGTGGCAATTTGTTTTCACAAATGTGTTATATCGTATGTATATATAAACATACCTACATACAGCTATATATTTTAAGACTCACTCGGACACTGTATCCATGTATGTATGTATGTGTGTATGCATATAAATGTGATGGTCAATCAATCTTCTAAACAATTTATACATACTGATATTGCAAATCTCTTATCCACAACTACATAATTGTGGTCAAAACAATATTAATTGGTAGATAATCATAATCGTATTACAAATAATTTGTGCTAAAGTGGTTTTTTTTTTATTAATTTTACCTTAACTACGTTTGAACTAATATACATATTTATGTAAAACAATATATTCGGTCTTCTTAGTCTACGATTCGAATGCACTAACCTTAGAATTAGCGGGGAGTATAAATAGAGGCCTACTTATATATGTACATACATACATACATAATTTGCATTCATTCAATTTTTTTTTTTTCATTATTTTCAAATTACTAAGTTAAAAAAGGATATCTTTATAATTGTAAATTGCTTGGTAAGTGTAGAATTTTATTCTTAATTTATCTGAATTTTTGAATGAATATTTTGACAACTACAAAAAAAAAGAAATTATATGAATGACAGTAGTGTATGAAGTATTGAAATTTTAGTGCATTTTTCTGTCACACTACTACTCGTAAACAAATGTCCTGTTTTCCCCGAATTTGTTTATTTTTTTTTTCTTGTTATTATAAATTTAATTAACACTATTTGCATAACTTTGCTAAAATCACGTGCTAATTTAGTTCAGTTGAGAAGGTATACGAAAACTCTCAAAACTCTGACATAAACAATAAGAAGCTATGTAATAAAAAACAAAAGCCAATTTAATATCCAAAGATAAATAGCTAAAAAAACTATTATATATATATGTATATATATATTTTTTTTTTTTTGAAAATTCACTTTTGAGTTTTGAACAATTTTAAAGCTGAAATTTATAAATGAATATGAAATGTGAGAGAAATAAAGAACCAACAACTCTAATCCAAAAGTATCATAAACTTCAAATTACAGAACAAACCATCATATTCAATATTTACATAAATGTATGTACAGTAACGAAATGTCAAAATTGCGCTCACTCGATGCAAATTTAATTGGCTTTTTGTCTCACCGAATGCGGCTCAATAAAAATTGGTAACAACTGTTACTGCTCATCAGCTGATTCTGCTGTAATATTTGAAAAATTGTAGTGTAACATTTCATTAAAATTTTATTTATAAAAATTGTACTTTAGAGAAAACGAGCCGGCCCAAAAGAATCAAATAACAAAACTAGCAGATATTTAACATATTTGTTCGACCAATAAATAAAATTAAGTACTGTCGCCGCAATTTGCAAGCAAAAATTAACAAAATCTGTTTCTCTTGCTCTTTTAGCACTGGTTCAAAACTTGAATAGCAAAAGTTGACAGTTTGAGAAGCGCTGATCTTAAAGATGTGTGCTTTAGAGAAAAGACGCAAACATTATACGTACAGTTTGAGAATCACTGTTATCTTTACACCATATTACCTACCAGATTAAACTACAATAACACTAAACAGCACTGCCGTCGGTAACAAGCATGATTTGTTTACCGGTTTGCAAATTAATTTGGAATTTAGCGTTATTATATATAAGTAAATGCAGTCTATGATGTTTAAAAAAATTAATTAAAAAAATAAACTAAATATTTTTTTTTAATGAAATTATGTTAATTAATATGGAAAATATTGTATAAATTTATCATCGTTGCTTGTGACCTGACGGTGGTGCTGAGGTTTCCTTATAACTAATGGCTTTTCGAATACTGCTTAGAGAATTTAGCGGTTTATCATACTGGACGGTTATCGTGTTGACACGAAAAAGAGGACGATACCCAAAAACTTCTGTTCGAAGATTTTTTAGTACTTTTGAAATACATACTATATACACAAGTAGAGAGGAGTCTCAATGTGAATTTCATGAATGCACCACATTCAGAATTTATTGAAAGTCATTTTGAAATTCCTCCATTGCTGACCAGTATCATAAACCTGCACGAGCCACTCCCTTCACAGGAGTCACATTACGAATAATGTTCATTTAAAGGCTCAATGCTTGCTTAACACAAATCAGTTGCATTCAGAAATTATCATCGTTGTTCTTGTTTTTAGCTGTCGCTAGCAGCATCTATAGCAGCAGCCTCGGAAGCATCTACAGCTGTGTTGCAGTACCAACAATTAGCATTTCTCAGCAACAATACATATTACAACCACCAACAATTTCATCTTTGAACTCCAGCTCGGTCGCTTCTGGGTCTTCACATATATCCTTTTCTTCGCAGAGTTGCAATAGGGGATTACGCTCCGATTGGTGTATGTGATGTTGCGGCGGGTGTTGATGTCGTTGGTATTGTTCTTGCTGTTGTTGCTGATATAACTGCTGTTCATTCTCATGTTGGGTATGCAATTGCTGTTGATGCTCTCTAAAGATAATTTGAGATCAGAACTCTTGCGGATATTTGACACATTCAGCATTGGAGGTGGCCGCCGAAGCGAATAACGAATTACCACCACCCGCGCCAACTCCAACGCCAACACCGACACCAACTCCAGCACCGCCGCCCAGCGGCATGCCGGAGTCTTGTGCGTTTTGCGTCTGATATCCGCCAGCTGCTACGCTAGCTGCTGCCGCCGCCTGATATGGTTCCTGATACAACTGATTGAGTCTCTAACCAGTACCCGAAAAGTGCCACGCGTCCTATGCACTCAAATGGGCAAATTGTGACGGATGAATATCAAATTGATGGTATGGATGACCGTATGGTCCCATGTGATATGGTACGATATTCATGGATGCCATTTTATGCTCCTTTTTCCATTTCATGCGCCGATTCTGGAACCAGATTTTTATCTGTCGTTCGGTGAGGCAGAGAGCATGCGCAATTTCGATACGTCTCCGACGGGTCAGGTAACGATTGAAATGAAATTCCTTTTCCAGCTCTAACGTCTGATAGCGGGTATATGAGGTCCGTTGTCGTTTCGTCTCGCCATTGGCATTAACAGTACCTGTAATGCAGAGGAAAAATAAAAGAAAAAGAAGCAATTAATATAATTAATTGTATTTAATGCATTAACAATTTCAAATTTACAAAAAATTATGTGATTTCAAAATAATAAAATTTTAATTGAATTTATTTATTTTATGCGGCTTTCACTTAAACTCGATCAATCCAAATGAAGAAAGCACAATCTTTTACAAGAATGTACAATGAGTCTGGTCCTAAACGAGGCTAAGAAGAAAAAACTTAACCATAACTTCCCGGCTGCAGATAACTTCGTCTCTTTTAGACGGTATTAACACCATTAATAATGTCAGCCATGAAATCCACCCCGAATCACTCTTATCAAGAGGTGCTACTTTGGACTGAGTAGGCAATTGAAAAGTAAATTCCTCTCTTGACGAACAGAAACCAAACTCTACAAGCCGCTCATCATACCCGTTCTAATATATGGCGTAGAGGCATGGACGATGTCAACAGCTGATGAGTCGGCTTTGGGAGTCTTTGAAAAAAAGTTTTGCGTACGATTTATGGTGCTTTGCGCACTACAGCTTTGCATGTATTCGATCCAGTACCCGTTGGTGGAAGCAGAGGAAGAGTAAGATCTACACTCCGTTGGAAGGTGAGGTGAAGAACGACTTGGTTTGACTTGGTATTTCCCAATGACGCCAAACAGCGTAAAGAAGGGATTAATGGCGCGCTAATATAGATTCGGCTTTAATCGTGTAATCGACACCAACGCCAATAAAGACAAATAATAATACTAAGACCGTTACCGCGACGTATCCACCTTCAAAGATATTTACATATTACAATTAGCGCTTTGTAACCCCTGAAACGATTATCGTCCGGGCTATTTTTTCCTAAGAAATGAAAGGAGCTACAGTTTATATTAAGCAACCTCCGAAGGGCTGATGGTTTTCAATGGGAATCAGAAATACACTGGGAGGGTTCAGCATTCACTGCCGATGGACGATGTAATTTCTTTATTTAAATTAATTTTCCATAACTTTTGGATGTTGGACTGGCCAGAGTAAAACGCTTTGCTACCACTCGGCTAATCGGTCGCCATCTATTTGTGTTAAAAAACGGTAAGACATATAAACAAACGAAAAATCGATGGCAAAGAATACAAATATGCTTATGTATATTAAAAATGTATGTACATGTATGCTTCATGCAACTTGATGTCGAGTTGTCATTGCAATAGTAGGTGACACACATAAACTAAATAGACCGTCCCCAAGTAGCGAGAAATTCGGGGCAACATTTGTTGAATTTCCCAGCTTCGCAGTCAAAACAAAGTGATTGAACGGACTTTCATACCTACTTTAGGGTTGTACAAAAATAAAGTAGTAGTAAAAACTATTTTATTAAAAAGTTAGTAGTATTTAAACGATTTAGAATTGGTTATTGGTTAGGCTCCAGGAGACTATCATCGTTTTTCTTGCAAAGCTTTTCAGTGCCATTTTAAACCGAGTTTATTATCGACAAATTTGGAAAAAGTCGGAAATTTTTTTGATAGCTAAACCAGGTAAAGAGACAACCCTGCCGTCATTATATAGATCAATCAGCTTGTTGCCTTGAATATGCAAACTTTTCGATAAAGTGCTGCTATCAAAAATTAGTCCTTTCCTCCATCAAAATGATATTATTCCTACATATCAATTTGGTATTCGCGAAAAGCACGTCACAATGGAATAAGTAAATTATATAACAAATGAAAAGAGGAAGGTTTTCGAGTTCAGAGAGTATTGCTCGGCCGTTGGCTTGATGTGGTGCAAGCATTTGATAAAGTGTGGCACGATGGTCTCATTCATAAAATTGAAAAATCATTACTTAACACTTTCCAAAATATCCTTGAATCCTACTTATCCAACAGGCGATTCACAGTAAAATGTAATGAATACATAACAGATGAGTATCCTGTCACGACAGGTGTACCGCAGGGTAGTGTCTTGGACCAATATTGCACCTACTATTCAGCGCAGATATTTCTACAAATGACAGAGTAATTACGTCAACATTTGTGGTTGATACTGTTATAATAAATTTTCCATTATAGCCACAAAAGGGTTACAGCAAGTAAGACAAACACATAACTTTTTCATGAAAGCCGAAAACATGTCTTTCTATCAAGCTCGGCAAGGTATCGATTCCGCAAGCTGACGAAATGACATACCTAGGTATCCACTTTGACAGGCGCTTAACCTGGAGACGACACATTGTTGCTAAAATGCTGCAACTTAAAATCAAATCTACCAGTTAACATTGGCTTTTAAACAAGAAGCCTGAGCAACAAAGTTCTCCTATATAATTCAAAAATAATATCCTTAGGGATCTCATAGGAATGTAAATATCTCTACCATCAAGGTAGAAATTGCTATTGCAGCCAAAAAATCCTCAATAAAATTGCGCTACCATCCGAACCCTTTGCCTAACACCTTGGCTCATGCAATAAGTCAAACACGTATGCGGAGGAGAGACAAATCAGCCTTCTAGAGAGCAACTTCAAGCCAGCAACCCATTTCTGCTAATGGAGTTTGTGTTTTGGTTTAATTTAATATTTTTTTTTTACCTATTATTAGGCTTCCGTTGTCGAAGCAAATTCAATAAATGATAATTAATGTTAAAAAAATGGTTAATATAAAATAGCTGTCAAAAGCCACCGTGTACTACAAAAATGCAATGAGTTTTGAAAGCATAATAAAATTTGAAGCGAGTGCATGAGAAATACAACCTTTGAACTGCCCTAATATTATATATGGAATTTGTTGTAATTTGTTTTATTAATATAAATATGCAGGTTTGTCTCTTATTTTAACTACTGCCACACATTCACGTAGTATCCACTTCTGCCTTTCTTTCAGCTATTGTCTTCGATACTTTGCTTTTTTTTTCAAAGGTAATGTCTTGTTTATTGTTTTTTATTGCATTTTTTACTAGGACGTTCATGCTGCCGACGTCGGTTGCGACTGTTGTCACTTCCTTTACTCAAAAGCGTCACTCATTCAAAAGCCAATCTAGTGTAACCATAAATGTTTCGCTAAATGGTAATTTTTGAAGAATGCACATTGAAGTTAAATATAATTTAACAAAAAAGAAAGGCTGATTACATTGCCACACTGCACGCCCCCTCATTATAGTCGACGCGTCTCGCTCACAAATAATAACAAAACGGCAAAAAAAAAAAAAAAACAAAAAAAAATCGACATTATCTGCAGCGCACGAGCGACTTCATGAAGGCTTCAATGAGCCCTTACGCCACCACCTCTTCGCCTTTTGCCGCATATTGACGTTTCTGCACGTTCATTGATGATAGTTGGGAAACTAGAAAAACTTAAACAGCAATCAAGTCTTTTCGTCTAAATTGCGTCTTGACACGAAATTTTTTTTACGAAAAGCGCATCGAGTTTGAATATAGGAAACCGCAAAACCATAAATGGGATATAATGCAACCACCTACTTCTTGTATTTCGTCCGTTTATCTGCTCATGTCATATATCTTCCAATGTATAGAAGGACAAAGCTAGTGATGGTAAAAGTTAATCAGTTACTCGGTCAAAGGTTAATAGAAATGGTCGTGGATTCAATTGTTTGGTTTATTGAAGGTTTTCCTTTTTCAGGATTCGTAATTTGAGTTCTGCCTCAGAGAATTTTGAGTAGATTCGTTGTCTCTTCTATACATACCTCGACGTAGAAGTAATTGGCTGCATACGTGTTCCATAAATAATATTTTCGTCAGCAAGTACACATTGCGCATATAAGAAATTTTCTATATTAAATGAATTCAAACACTATTTGCCGTTTTTTTTTCGAATATTTTCGAATTATTCGGTTTCTTCGATGATTACCTTGTTGCATGTTACCATCTCTAGAAAATATAGAAAAAGTCATTCTGCGAGGAAAATTCTGGTTTATGCAAAATATAATTTAATGGAGCTGCATAGTTGTTGTTGATGGTAAATATCGGTGTTGGTCTAGACGAGCGGACATATAATAATGTTGTTGTATTCGTTTTCTACTTTCAGTGGGACGAATTGATTGGTGGAGAGGGTGATTGTCATTGTTACCGAAAAGCGTTGCCTTCCGGCGGGGTGTGCTATGGCAGTTTTTGTAGATAAAGAAATATAATTGTTGATTACTTCAAATGGATGAGAACGCCTGCCAACGCCTACGAAACACCTTCAGCCGATTTGGCGAAGTGGTGTTTATATACAAATGTAGACATGTATGCATAAAAGGCGATAATGGTGCGTTAAAGTAAAATTTAACATTAATATCTTTAGGTTAGAAGATATACATGTACATATTTATACGTATGCAGTAATCATAATATTGTATTTTGGCTAATTAATTCATTACTCTAACATCAGTAGATGTCTTTTGTTATGTTGGTGGACAGCATAAGTGCTCGACGCTTAAAAACTCCTTTATATAGTGACTTGGAGCATTTAAAAATAAGAGCAGTAGTTTGGATAAATATTGAAACTATTATACAAATTGACCAGAATTAACATCTGTAAGGAGTAAAATTATTAATAATTGTATCTTTGTATAAAAATACCATGATCAGGCTCAAAGGGGTAAAGCCCCTCTTGAGGTTGAAAAATAAACTAATTTTAAAAAATTTATTATAGGAATATGGGAAAAGGAAAATAATTTCTATTTAACCATTTCATTGAACATATATTGAAGTATAAAAAAATATTCTTTAATTATGATTTTGTTACAAAAAAGCGATAAATGAAGTCCATTATTTAATTTCAATCCATGGTTTTTTTTTTAAAGGCATCCATGGGTGACCGATTTCTTCTAAAGGATGAGACCTAGAACTGAAAAGCAAAATCTTTTATGATCTACAAAGTATGGTCTTTAGAAGCACCTACGGATTTATTATTTAAGTAATTTTTTTTTAAGATTGATTTTTTACTTTAATATTATAAACGCACTGAATTATAAAAAAAAGCTTACATTTAATCTACAATAAAAACGGCTACATACTTC